CAGAACACCCTATAAGAAAAACCCCAGAAATCACACATGCAAGCGAAAAAAATTCCTTAGTGGACTCCTTGAAGAGGAAAAATGATCTACTGAAGGAACTCATTGCTGAAAAAGACGCAAAATACGCAATTTTACTAGAAAATGAACTTTTACTAGATGAGAAAGTATCTGGCCTACTGCAACTGAACAAAAAACCAACTAATGGTAAAAACAACACTCACTATAAAAACAGCCTACAAAGGAAACAATAAATGAGACAAAAACAGAGGACTCCTATGCTACAAAAAGTATAATTAAGGATCCTATTGACAATGAGAATGTAGTTGAATAGACAGGGGGAATCAAAATACCAAATTCTATTGAGGGGAATAACCACCAATCTATTACTACACAGGACATACTAAACAAACAACTCAGAGTTTTGCAAGAGTTCATAAACCTTTCCAACCCAGAATATCCAAATAACAACTCAAATTCCAATGATACTATGGAAAAATCACGAGAGACAAGATATCTTCAACATAATGACCAACAGAAACCAAAAGACTGGAGTGAGGCCAGGAATAGGAGAAGACATCGCCCAGGAGGAGTAGGGCAGGCTGAGGAAAGCCCCAGTAATTTTGGAGGTGCTAAACCTAAAGTATAGGTTGTGTCTGAAGGAGACATACATCAATATCTCGAGATCAAAATGGAGAGAAACACCGACTTCATTGTGAAATATCTTCAAACAGAGGGCCACTATAAAGAATATATGGTGGCTGCGGACTTTAGCTATAAAAATGAGTTCTATAATCCGACTTTTTGGGCTAGAGGAGTAAGGTATAAACGCTTTGATTTCAATATACAAAGACAAAAGAAAATCAGTACTCAAGCACAAAATTTTTCCAAAGCTATGACCACAAACCAACCAATGTAGCCCGTAGCACTCTTGACACAAGACAAGCAGGTGAACTACATAGTATAATATATTGAAATATCCGAAACGTAAACACAGAAATACCCGAACTACAAGTCCAGATCAAGCCTCATGACCCAGATGTCATTTGCCTTGGTGAAACTGCATTATCTGAAGAACAACTGCAAAATGTTCATATTGATAGTTATACTTTAATGAGTTATTTCTGTAGAAGCGAGTTCAAAATGGGAGGTGTTGGAATTTGGATGAAAATCTACATCTCAGCTAAGGCACTGCACCTCAATAATATTAATGCCGAAAAAGACTTTGAAATTTGCTGGGTGCACCTATCAACACATGGGTAGTTCTTTCCTTGTGTTCAGTATATATAGATCACCTTCAGGTAATTTCAAATCATTTTTAATCAATCTTGATACCTTACTTGATGAGTACTTCAATTGTAAAAAAAAAGTATATTTTTATGTGGAGACTGGAATATAAATTTTGGNCAATTGAAAAAAAGTATATTTTTATATGGAGACTGGAATATAAATTTTGGGGTAAAGTCCAGTGACTTACTTTCTTCCTATCAGCTAATACAACTAGTTAATCAGCCTACCAGAGTAACGGAAAATACAGCGAACATCTTAGATAATATATTTACTACCACAGATATCAAGCATAATTCTGTGAATACATTTGACACTCACTTAACAGACCACAAATACATTTTGATTGAACATAATACAACAACAAAATACAATCTACAAAAAACTATTTTAAAAGATCATTCAACGACGACAATAAGGCACTATTTTGTTACTGTTGTATTATTGATAAAAACACTACTCTTTCGCTTTTACAAAACGACTTTTATTTACGACTTCCACGTTGTTTTACAGAGTAGTAACAAAGTTTTATATTCAACTAAAGAACATTTTTTATGTATCACATACATGATCCAAAAAAATATATCGTTAATGTAAAAAACTTATAAATCTGATTTGTATCGCCATCTATTTAAAATGGACCAAACTAAGGCTCAAACAGCATTTCATTTATGCGTAACAATACAGATTTGTATGTGGATTCTTAACAGTTACTACTCACTTTGTATATAGACTAACAAAGCTACTCACTTTGCATATAGACTAACCAAACAAAGCTATTCATCAACTGAATCCTGGGAGGAGTATACAACGAGACTGACGTAGGTAAATAAGAAAGCTAAACAACTAATCAATATCTTGAATCACTATTTTGATATATGTTTTCCCTACAAAAAATTCTACACCGGACAGAATAAAAACTGGACCTACCTACCTACCCAATTAAAAGGGAGGCTGTCAGAATAAGAGATTTGTATGTCTTACATAAAACTTTTGACGTATTTAGACCAATGTATAAACATGCCCAGAAGGCATACAAAAATCTTGTTAAAATGACAAAAATAAATCGCTACTCAAATAAGGTACAAACATCAAGTAACAGATCAAAAACTATGTGGAATATAGTCAAAGAAATAAAAGACACAAGAAAAGATAATTTTATCAAAGAAATAAATGTTGGTGGCACAACTATAAGTGACCCAAGTCAAATAGCCAACCATTTCAATACTTTCTTTGAGAATGCACCACACTCGTGATCGAGGCCCCTCCCTCCAGTGTCTCTTTCCTTCCCAGAACAACTAACAAATGTAAACTCCTTTTATGTATTTCCTCGGGACCAATTAGAAATTAAAGAGCTATTCAATGGTCTGAAAAATAAAAAATCCTCTGGTGTCTGTGGCGTATCTAATGTAGTTCTCAAAGAATTCAAACACCTACTAGCAGAACCGATAGGTCATGTTATAAATGAATCTCTGAACTCAGGAATCTTCCCAGAAATTTTCAAAACTGCAATAATAACTCCAATACTCAAGAAAAATGATAGTCATATCTTGGATAACTATAGGCCAGTCGCCCTCCTATCCTCAATCTCCAAGCTTTTTCACAAAGAAAGATAATTCTATCAAAGAAATAAATGTTGGTGGCACAACTATAAGTGACCCAAGTCAAATAGCCAACCATTTCAATACTTTCTTTGAGAATGCACCACACTCGTTATCGAGGCCCCTCCCTCCAGTGTCTCTTTCCTTCCCAGAACAACTAACAAATGTAAACTCCTTTTATGTATTTTCGTTGGACGAATAAGAAGTTATGGAGTTATTCAATGGTTTGAAAAATAAAAAATCCTCTGGTGTCTGTGGCATATCTAATATAGTTCTCAAAGAATTCAAACACCTACTAGCAGAACCGATAGGTCATGTTATAAATGAATCTCTGAACTCAGGAATCTTCCCATAAATTTTCAAGTCATATCTTGGACAACTGTAGGCCAGTCGCCCTCCTATCCTCAATCTCCAAGCTTTTTGAGTATGCAATGCTCAGTCGTTTTTTACCATACTTAGACAAATTCAAAGTACTCAGTAACTCACAATTTGGCTTTAGGAAAAAGAGATCAACTATGGAGGCAATCCTGAACTTTTACTGCGAAATCATTGAAAATTTTGAAAATAAAAAGTACCCTGTAGGAGTTTTTTGTGACCTAAGCAAAGCATTCGACTGTGTTGAGCATGACCGGTTACTTTATAAACTGGAAAAATATGGTGTTCATGGCATTCCATTCAACTGGTTTCAATCGTACTTAAAAAATAGAAAACAATATGTCGAAATAAATAGTAATGATAACCAAAACAAAAAAGTCAGATCAGAAACCTCCACCATTAATATAGGGGTACCTCAAGGTTCCATACTTGGGCCTATACTATTTATTCTGTACACTAATGATTTACCATGCTACACTGGAGACCACAACATCACAATGTATGCAGAAGACACAAATTTTCTATAGGCAAAAGCAAACCTTGCTCTGAAAAAAGCAAGTGAATGGTTTTCTGCTAATAAACGGATAATTAGATGTATGACCTCTTCTCATTATCTTGAACCACGCAAACCACTTTTTAAACGCCATTAGCATGCTTTGCACATGATAGAAAACCAACTGTCCAAATAATACACACCCATATTCCACAAGGAAAATACAAGAAATAATTCCAAACCACACCCTACAAATTACCAGCCAAAGTCCCACAGTTAATTACTACCTGCAACTTCAAGTTAAAACTCAAAGAAATACTCATTCGGACTCCCTTCTACAGATTGAATGAATTTTTTAATGAAATTTTAGTCTAGTTTTAATGTGATATAATTTACTTATATCAATACACCCACTTTATACACCAGGTACTACCACTTTATCTCTATATAACTCTAATATTATTTTAGAATGTACCCTTTTAACTACTAATGTGACTTATCCAGTCTGTATGTGACTTTATTGGATTAATGAATATTATTATTATTATTTGTTGTACTACAGTAGGGATGAACTACGATGTCTAATAGACCTTCTTACAGGTCACTGTCATTTGAATCATCTCAGAAACATATGAATATATTTATTTTTAATGAATTTACTGTTAAAAATCTTCATAATTGAGCTGTATGCACATATTATTCAGAATGTAAACAAGTACATCTTTTCATTATTCAAAAGATTCATAAGGACTCAAATCGTTACTTAACTAAAATTTTCGCATCTTCCGTTTAAGAATTTCAAGATGCAACAGCCTCCATTTCCTTAAAGTAATTAAATATCACTCGACCTCTTAATAATACTATTACGGCCTTCTAGGATGAGAAAGTTAATTATTCATTATGGTAAACTTTGGTTAATTTAATTTCAAAAACCTTAAGGCAAAGAAATAGTTTCTAAAACAGGCAGAAAGATATAAGGTGATTTATTTAATATTCCCATCCAGATTGCCGCACTATTCTAACTAGTCACTGTACATGAAAAACTAAATCCTCATTAATGGAAGATATCCTCGCTGAACGTGGAAACATGTTTAGATATGACTAATCACAGTAATTATATTACTATAATTATGAGCTTTGCCTGCTTTTCTGTTCTCTCCACAAATACAAGATGATTTTCATGGCTAATGATTTTTGTTGAATAATCATTACCATTTGCTTTTAGAAAAATAATTTCAAAAATCGCATGCACGAAATTATTTAGGTGTCTCTTAACAAGTTTTAAGCTTTCATGAAAACAAATATTTTTAATTTTATGTGCAGACACCTTCATCATAAACTGTTTCAAACTTGAACAAAACAATTTATCAACATTGCTGCGTTTGTTGATTATATTTAAATTTTTTTGAAATCGAACATATACAATACAGGGAAAACCCTTCTTCAATGTTTTTATAATGTTTCTAATACATCACCAGTTTTTGAAACCTTTTAACAAGCAAAACAAATCTTATATACATCGATTCAATAAATGAAATCCAATGAAAAACCTTCAATATCAACCGATTATGATAATATAGTATCAAATACTAATCTTCCAAAGGTACATACAGGAATAATTCATTCTGTTAAAAATGTTTTTTACGTCTTTTTCAGTCCAAATCTGGTAACAGCCAAAGATGAGGCATTTCATAGTAACACAGTTACAATAAAAAGTGACAATTCGAAACTGTTCAAGTTTTGTGCCAAACGAATATCTAAAAATTAATAAATAGACACTGTCCATGAAATTATTTAAGAGTATAACAGAAAATACTCAAGTTACCTGTGACCTAAATGAAGATTGGTTCCTCAACAAACACAGAGAATGATTCTCTTAAACAAGAAATCAGGCACTCAATTCAGTAACAAATGTATTTTTTCTTAGCAATACAATTTCTAAGGCAAAACTTTTCAACAATATCACTTCTTTTCTCTGGATTTTTGTCCTCAAAAACAAATGTAGATACATACTACATAAAAATTATCAATCGATATCTACAAGATCATTCTGCTAGTCAACAGCTATTAATAGTATCCAATTATAAACTATCAATATTGGCCAACTAGACATTAAAGATATATTACCAGGACTAATGCTGGTATTGCTGGTGTATTTATATTATGTATCACAAAAATTATTTAGCACTGGGACAGTATGAAAAAGAAAGTGCCTTATAATAGAGACAGTTGACCAATAAAGACAAGATCAGAAATACAAAGATCACAGTATTGCAATAATAGCACACGAGAGACAGCAAGGCATATAAAATCATCTCGGACAACTACTGAATCATAACAAAAAGAATACTATTCAGAATCAAGTTAACATAAATGTAGTTGAAAATATTTTTGATATCAATTCTATCTGAGACAGAGACGACAAAATGGTTATACGAGTAGATTCATGGATATCTGAATATTGATCAATATAATCTGTCTGTCTACTAAAATCTGTTTTTCCATTAACCATCTGTCAATTAATAATGTTATTGATACAGCATGGATCAGGTCGATTCCTTATAGGATTCTCAGTTCATAATTGATATTTTGAATTTGTTTCTTCTTTTACATTGTTTTTTTTTTGTGAAAACTTAAAAAATCATCAGTGCTTAAGAGATAGTCAACTTGCTGTCATTACTTATGATATTCCTACAATTGTGGTTAGTTAACATTATCGCTCCATGTCTTTGTATTGCTAAGTCTGGCAAAATACGATACACTTATATAGAGATCTAGATAAATATATTAAACTATTACACGACCAAGCCTTAACAGCGAGAGAATTGAGAAAGGAGTATAAAAGGCGACCTGTATCCCCGCTCCCCTTAGGACTTGAGGAGTTTGTTGGCACGCTGGTTGGCCACTGCAATGCGTGTTTCGTTGCTCTCACCCTAACCAACAAACATATAACCAGTGTGCCCCTTTATCTATAACACTACACTGAACACCTGTCTCGTTCCCATTGCCACCAAACGAATGAATAGTGAAGTTGACAATATAGGATGTCAACTGAATTAATTTATTGTCAGAAAATTTTATGAAATTTTGATTGATTCGAATCAAATTTGATACCTTCACCATACAGATCAGTTAAAAACTTGAAGAAGGCTGAATACATTTTCAAAAATGCAAATGAAAGTTACAAGTGTCATACAAAATTACTTTGATGGNTGGATAGGTGATTTTAAAAGGAATTCAACGATGATTTTTCAGGGTGGGTTTCTGATTTACTCTAAAGGACTTTTCAGATTTATTGATACAATCTACCACAAAAACGTATACAATAGTTATTTCCATTGTCGAATTTCTAACAGAAAACAACTTTTGTTCCGTATCACTGTTGAATTATATCTGTAGGATTTTTGGCAAAATTTCTCACAGGAAACACTTCAAAATACTTTCAAAAACACACAGCCAAAAATGTTTCATTAAACAGTTTTTCAAAAACGCAACACGTGTTTCGCAATACAATGGCTTCTTCGGACATATCTTTACTAACTATATTCTACATATTATACCTGATTTTACAATTTGAAGTACCTACATTTCAAATACCTGAGTTTGTTATGAATTAAGTCACCTGAGCTTACGTCCCAGTTCCCACATTTGAAAAAAGGTATTCATTTCTAATTGATCATTCAGTAAATTACCATAATTCTTGAATCTATTGATTTCTAAACATTTTAGAAGATTGAGTTTCAACCTCTTCTCTCCTAAATGTAACACGTATTCATGACTGTACTCAAGTCCTTCTGCTTAAAGGTGGTTTGCAAATGTGAAATTGGTCTGTCTATTTACAAAACTACTTATATTCTCTTCGAATCTTCCGGAAAATGTTCTCCCTGTTTGGTCAATATACAGTTTTAGGCAAGAGCCACAGTTCAGCTTATATACTGGTTTATCCTTGTTTTCATATTGTTTTCTAAACATCCCAAGGATTTGGAAAACAATAATTAAAAACATCCACCAAAGACAACCACAAATTGATAATGAACCATCGCAGGTAGGAGAACCGCCAGAAGCCATTAACAACCCTCAGGTAGAAAAACAGGTAGGAGAACTACCAAAAGCCATCAACAACCGTCAGGTAAATATAAATACAAATGAATATTTATTCAGATAATTAATGGATATTTCAAATATTTCAATTTGAAAACTTTGGGGAAGTACATAAAACGACAAACAACATATGGCAAACGACAATATCAACATTTTCAAATGACAACTGAAATTTCATTTCAAGCACGAAACGAAAATCAAAGAAGTATAAGGTATTGAAAAAACATGGAAATGAACTAACATTGTCAAAGGAGAAAATGATATCGATTTAGAAATAAAAATTTCCACTATAGTGCACAGATACACAACTCAAAGATGACTCGGCTGTTACATCGCTGAAGTTGAGTGAAATGTAGCAACCAGTGAGAAATATGATTATTAGCAATGATTACGAAGTTTCAATTAAAGAATGTTTTAGTCAGTCAAATATAGACGGTTGAATCAGGCAGTTTTAATTGTGGATTATTATTAGTGTGATATAAAACACTATACATTGTAGAGTTTCATTGGTAATCAGCAAAATACTTCAAAAATTGTTCTGTACTTTGATGAAAACTGATTTGATGAGATTCACTATGATATCCAAACCTTTCAATGACGGTCACTGATTTTTTCCATGACTTCCTACTGTAAATGATAAGTACAAACTGGAAAAATGAAATCATATTTTCATAAAATTGAATAATATTTAAATTCAGTCAAGAATAACAAATGTAAGTAAATATTCACTCTGTGTGTGCGTAATATGAAAGAAAAGTGCTCTAACGAAATGAATAAAAACACTTTTGTCCAATTAGCACTAGTTAACTTTATTTATATGACCGGTTTTAACCCCATTATCAAGTATTATCAAGCGAGTTGGAGGTGTTGGAATTTGGCTGAAAAGCTATAGCTCAGCTAAGGCACTGCATCTCAATAATTTTAATGTCAAAAAAGACTTTGAAATTGCTGGGTGCACCTATCAATACAAGAGTAGTTCTTTCCTTGTGTTCATTATATACAGTGTCTCACTTCTCATGGAAACACCCCCGTATCTTCCGTAATATTCGAGGTAGAACGATGAAACTCTCTGGACTGATGGAAATGCTCCAAATGCACCTACTGCCTGAATGGGGTTGGCCAAAGTTATATACACTGTCCGCCACTCGCGATGGAACACCCCATTTTTACGGTAAAACATATTAGGGGGCAAAATAAGCTCAAAATTCCTTCAGATTCGTGATGGATGATTTATATTTACAAAATGTTGCATAACCTTCTACTTACATATTTTGACAAATTTGTAATTTATAATAATCAAATCCATCAGTAAAATACTAGAATAAGAAATAATTTGTATGTAAATAATCAAAGAAAAACGTTCAACACTGAAACATTAATTTTTGAAGGATTTATTAAGTATAACAGTCTACCTGAAAATGTAAAGTTTTGTAACAGTCTTATTCTGTTCAAAAGAAATATTTCAGACCATTTAAGAGACCATTAAGGTGATACCAAATTATTATGTATTATTTTTTTGTGTATTTTCAATAATCGTAGGTAAGACTACTTATTAACAAATATCAGTAGATCTTTTTTTTTAATTGAAGGGTTTTTTTTGTATACCAGTGAGGATAACAGTATTCTATGTAAGTGCAATTTGTTACCATTCATTTAAAGTAGAACTCATGTGAATGATATCTGATTTTTATTCCACAATGAATGTTTGAAATACAAACTGAGTAGAGAAAAGTATCTTCTGTATAATTCAGTGTTCATATAGAAGTATTTGTTTTGAAAGAATTTTTTCTTTAGTATAATTCAATGTTTATATGAAAGTAGCTGTTTCAGGAGGACTTTCTTTCAGTTTGTGTCTGAAAGTTACTTCTTTGCATGATCTACACATCCATGTTCCTTCCTTTCTTTGGAAGACTTCCTCATCCTTCTTTTTTTGTATCAAAAATCTTTTTTTTCTATTATTGTGTTGATATGTAAATTGATGTTAACATTATTATCATTGTTGTATATTAGAATGTATCCTATTCGAATAAAGCATTCCATTTTATTTTAATACGCTACCTATCATTGTGTTCACTTGACCGACGTTTTCTTCCATTTCGTCCTCTCGCGCATCGTTTGTGATTCTTCCAATGTAGCCACCTTGAGGACCCATACCATTTCGGTCATCCATCATTCTTTGTGGTTGATTGTTTACTACTTTACCATCGTCATTGCCTTTCCATGTTCCTTCATCTTCTTTGAAAGAAGAACCTCTGAAATCACAAAATGATATTTGTTACAATTCCGAGGTCAAAAATGAGGTTCTCAAAAAAATTATAAGCTGCAGATTGTAAAAGGGTCCAAAAAATCTTTTCAGCTCTTCTCCACCTTTTGTACGTAGCCCTAATCTAGCAGAAATCCTAGACGCTACGACTTTTAGCAGAATTAATAGGCTTCCTTTGGCTAGTTCTTTGATATGAAAGGTAATTCATATTACTTGCCAGGAAACCTGGATATTTTGTAGAAGGAAAGATATGTTCCTAGATGAACTTTCTGTCATTTTGACCGCAGTATGAGGCAGCTGTTTTCAACAAAAGTTTCAACATTTTTTGCTGTCTCAATATAATTTTTTCCAAATGTTTAGAAAAAATTGGAATCAAAAGTTAATTATCAATATGCATTTTTACTTTCTGGTCATAGACAAAACAATGACATTTTTCAAAAGCAAAGACGATGAGCAAGTAAGTTTTTCAATTTGATCCGACTTTATGAGTGCAAAAAAACTGGACTATCCATTTGTAATACCAAACCCTAATCCAGCACCTAATACATCAAATTCATTTATACGTTTTCTAGAAATAATAAATCATAAAGTCAGATTTGGATGTAAGATTTGAGGAAAATTATTGAAGCATTTGAAATCCACTCACAATTCTTGATGGTAGACCAAGTAATCGGAATTACCATGAGCTGTAAAGTTGAGCTCTAGAAGTTTTGGAATTTTGTGGAAAAATGACTACAGAAGACCGTGGTTTTGAGATAATCTCTTTCTTTACTGTCTCGAGTATAGCTACGGTGTCACTGTTTTTCGAGTTTGAAAGCCGTGGATTTTTGGAATTCCTTCCTGAAGTGAAGCTTCTTCAGAGGTTTAACCATCATAACCTCTGAAGAAGCTAGCCACTCGCGCCAGCGAAACGTCAGGAAAAAATTTCAAAAATCCACGGCTTTCAAACTCGAAAAACAGAGACACTGAAAACGTCAGCCGCGAAAGTCTAAACCATTATGTCTATAGCTACGGTATCTATCCATCCGATTAGTAGGCAAGTGAAAGTTTTGTTTCCCTAGTAATTTTTTGATAAGTTGTATTTATGATGTAAATATGTAATCTGGTAATTTTCTCCATGGTCTTCTAGAGAAAGAAAAAAAAGAAAGCTAATGGGAAGTATGGACAAGCTTATCTTGCTTATCAGCATATGTCTTCTCCATGATCTTTGAACCAAAGTGTATAAACAATCGTAGAATACTCACTTTTGACATGGTAAAACGCAAAGTCCGCAGCATTTCTCCATACCCGTTAAGTTTTTCTCTGCTTCTCTCATATCGGTATTGATTTGATCCATGCCATCTTCGATTCGGTCCAGTTGTTCTAGGTAACACAAGATCAATATTCTCCTTAGATGTTCAATTTTCATCTCATGAATTAATATTTATAAAATGTGTGTGGGGTGTGTGTCAGAAATGGAACTAATTATCATGCTCGGTCATGCAACAATCTACCCTATACAATAGTTATCCATTAGAAATTCAGAGAGAGAGAGAGTTCGATGTATTTGAGTAGATTTGCTACATTCTGTATGAAGATTAATGCCATTCAATTTGTAAATATCAAATTTATGAAATGAAGGCAAAAAAACAGTTCTAGGCGAAAAAACAGACTGATATTTTGAAATTTTTGAATATTCAATTTATATAGTATATTGTTATGTAATATCTCTCCCGAATTTAAAATGGATATTTATTGGGGCTAAGTTAAGAAGCGATTTATTTAGTTTTCATGCTACCAGTAATGTTGGATATATAAGAGTTGGCATCAGCGGAAAACTGAGATATAAAAGTGTGAAAAAACGTTAAGGTTCGTGAGTAGGGTGTTAACTTACTTCAGTAGTGTTAAATCCTTCAATGTATAGTTGTCTTGGTTGAATTATGTATTATCCATCATTATTTATATTTATGTTATGTTGAAATTGGATTAGGTATGTTAAATATGTTTTATGGTAGATACAAAAAAATAATTCATTTTTAATAATATCTCAGGATAAGTTTGGTTTGAGGATGGGAACAACGAGGTATCTTACTAAAACGTATAATTATTGGAAACAATTTGGCAATAAAAATCAATTTGATATCTCAATGTATCAAAAGATTGGTAGCGTGGATGTAATGAGAGTAGATAAATCTGTATGTAAAAAAGAAGCATAATCCAGTTTAGATGACTTCAGATTGACTTCTAAAACAAAAAGATTTTTACAACTATGTATCAATTGTTATTTCGTTGTTGCGTATGGTAAGCGTAGGTATTAGAAGGAAGGTTTGGAATTAACATTTCATTCTTCGCTAATCACTATAATCAGAACAATGATTCGGGAACTCCTGTACCAACAGCCAATCAATTTTAACTGATGCTTATGAAAATTTGCGTTTGAAAATTTGATTTCTATTTACTCATCTGACTACAAATTATAAAATCAATTATATACAGGGTGGGGACTCCATACGTCACATTCTCTATAAACTAAACCATTAATTTTTTCGGGAATATCTTCATTTCATTATATGTAGGTATATTGATTAAGACCGCAAAAAGAATTTATTTTGGAGTCTACAGGGTGACTCAAAAAAATTTGACATATCAAAGTTGTGTTTTTCAAATGGAATACTATCTCGATTCAAAGAATGCCTTGAAATAAGAACTACTATTTGAAAAGCCAATACCTGAAAAACTACATAGTTTAGATATAGGAAACCCCGAAATGAAATATAATTGAATTTTATGTTGTTCAGACCCAAAAAATACAGGGGGTTCTAATCGAAATAACAAAGTTTGTTTTTCCGAAATATTAAAAAAGTGACAATGATTTTTTGTTCATTCTGTATAATATTGAGAAACGAGGATTTATCGAAATCAATAGCCCAAAACCTCTTTTTTACTTGGTCAGAATTTTTCCTGGCTTATTTAAAAGTGTAACGAAATACAGGGTATTCCATTGAAAAACAACTTTTATTTGTCACACTTTTTTGAGCCACCCTGTAGACTCCAAAATAATTTCCTTCTGCAGCCTTTATCAATATTCATACAATGAAATGAAGAATTCCCCGAAAAAAGTTAATGGTTTGGTTTACAGCAACCGTATCATATGGGGTGTCCCACGCTGTATATATACAGGGAGTCCCATATAAAACTCTACGGACAAAATATCCATATTTCGTGAGAGCAGATGAATTTGATATCAAAGGGTCCTCTTATTTACGTAGAGGTCCAGCACTAGGCGTCATCTTTTAGGGCGTCGCGACACCGACGCCAAGTTTTTAAAATGGTAACCCAGATTTTTCAATTTGTTTTCGGATCCTGCATCAAATTCTGAATTCAGTCATATAGCACACTTGTATTTTTCCTTGAAAACTGATGAAAAAAGGCAATGTTATTGCATATTATATAGAGGGCCATGAATAATGCAATAACACGAGTTTAATAAAATTGATTTGCAGTTATGCAGTTATGATTGCATTGCCTGTTCATTTTCATCTAGTTGTGTGTTTCTGTAAAATCGCAGACAATACAAACTAAAATTCAAATTAACAAAAAATATTTTACTTTGACCATATAACTTTACCAACATGATAGATAATAACGAAAACAATTAGTGATAACATGAGTCATTTTAATAAGTGTTCGAACTGCTTCCCTTCACTCAGAATACATATATTGCATCTTTTCAGTAATTCTCGATTTATGACAGCTGAAAGCGTCTCTCGCGATATGGAAGCACAAACATTTGTGATCCCATTTTTAACTCGTCTACATTTTATGTACGTCGCATATAAATGAACTCTTTAATACATCCCAAAAAAAAAAAGAAATTTAGTGGAGTAACATCCGGACTTCGAGCTGGCCATGGTATTGGACCTTCTTTCCGATCTATTTATCATTAAAAGTGACATCTAAATATTGGGTAACTATTATATTATTATGCGGATATGCTTCATTTTGTTGAAACCACATATTATATTCAGTCGAAATTGTATCGGCAAATTCTCCAAGAGATTCAGCAACACATGTTAGAGGAAAACCAAAAACCTCTCCCCATTGAGAATTCCTTCGAAAAAATGAAGTCCTATCAAATAACCGTCAATGATTCAGCACCAAACATTAACCCCCACACAGACTGAAATGTTGTTCCTTGCATCCAATGAGGGATCAATAGTGACATATATGTTTGTTTATTATACCGTTGTTATGGAAACGGCTTTCATCACTCCAGAATTCTTTGTTCAGAAACTGATCGTCATCGTGAATACGGGTGAACAACCATGCGATGAAGTTCCACTTTCGATCAGCATCTAAATATGAGAATACATTATAGTTATTAAAAATGATTTACCCTCGGTATTACATCATTCACATTGTCTGATGTTTGCAGATGATCTCAAAATTTTTAAACGTATTCAGACTGTTAGAGACTGCGTATCATTGCAAAAAGACATCAACAACATTGTGAATTGGAGTTATACTAATAAGTTATTTTTTAATATAAAAAAATGTTATACGTTAACAATATCCCGTTTGAAAGATGTGATCAAATTTGAATATCATATGGATGGAGAGGTCCTGGGTGAAAAAACCGAGGTGATAGACTTAGGCATTACTTATAATAGTACTTTTTCCTTCACGAAGCATATAATGGTATTAGTAAAATCTGCAAATCGTATGTTGGGATATTTAATGAGACAAACGCGTGAATTTAATAATATAAATACAATTAAATTACTCTACTATACTATAGTGAGACCAAAACTGGAGTTTGCTTCAATAATTTGGACAGGAGAATACAAAACTACTTTAAAAGAAATTGAAAAGGTTCAAAACAAATTTCTTCGATATCTCTATTTTAAAAAATATCATAAATGGCCCGATTACAATTTAATACGAACATCACGGCTAAGGAGCGAATTCAAAATATTATCATTAGAACAAAGACGCAATTTGTCAGCCCTGATATTCATATATAAAATAATTAATTCTAAATAAATTTACGGGGACTCTCGCCCTTCTCGAGTTATACCGGGAAAACAAAAAAAAATGCTGTTTTTCGTTTTTTTTCGAATGGAATTGTTACTTCGGAGAATATATAAAAATGGAAAAGGAAAATGTTATTGTATTCGAAGTGTACTATGATGATTTAATAATAAATATTCGATAAAACGTTTCGTGTCAACATGGCCACCATCAACTTTTTTTTAAATACGGACCTGTCTTTTTTATTACAGATATTGATAAAGCAATACATTCACACAATCCAAGGGTATATCACATTTGATATTTTCATAGCGTTTCATTTCAAAATAACCACCATCATCAGTGACAACAATCAAACAGAAAAACAATTTATTTTACCATGAACTTCTGGGAAAAATAAAACCAATACGAAAAATCAAAGCTACGTGGCAATCTACATTGAATGCTTGAATTGACGACCTCTTTGTTGAATGTTGTCGGTCCAGACAATTTCTGTGGCAATTTTCTAGCATAATAGGTGGAATACTAATACATTCATCTTTAATTTTTTGTTTGAGATGGTCGACATCTGTACATAGTGTTGAAAAAACTATATCCTTTATTTATCCCCAGACAAAAAAATCTAAAGGAGTAAGATTTGGGGATCGAGCTGGCCAGTTAATTGGTCCATTTTCTTGGGAATATTGCATCTAAATGTTCCCTTACTATTGCTGCATTATGGGGAGGAGCGCCGTCCTGTTGAAAATATTGTATTTCATGGCGGATATTCTGTCGCAATTCATCTAAGTAGCTATCGATTTCATTGAATAGAAAATGAAGATACACTTCACTATTTAAATGATCATCGTAAAGGAAATGGCTAAGGATGATTGTTCCCACAATTCCCAATCAAACATTTATTCCAAACTTTTCTTGGAAATTGGTTTCCCTAGGTAAATGTTTATTTGTATTATTCCACCTATAATGGATATATTGTTAAACCAACCATTGTTGTTGAATTTTGATTCGTCCGTCCATATTATTTTTTTTTACAAATATTTCCAACTTCCCAATTTATTTCTTAACAACTTCGCAAATCGTACTCTCCTTCTGTAATCCCTTTCCTTGAGGTGATAAACTTTGCGTATCCTGTAGTATTTATATTTGTTCTTTTTCAAAGTAATTCTGGCGGATTTTACAGAAATCCCCATTTCGTGGACAATTTCTCGTAAAGAACAATTTTGATTAGCATAATTTTTGTAACTGGCCGATCCTAAATAAAAAAAAAAGATGTTTTCACTGTGTAAATTTTTAAGAGGTAATATTTGCTAACCCATAACATTTATTTGATTCCTCACACTTCCAGTAACCAC